ATGCTGTCTACATGAAGTATTGGCAATAGAAATAGAAAGAACAGAAGTTCACAGAGGCGCCTCATTCTCTATTAACCAGTATAACTCAGATGAGTCATCTAATCTCTGCCTACCTCAGCTTCCTCATTTGAAAATGAAGGACACCTACAAAATTATTTCTTCCATATCTAAAATTCTTTCATTGCATTACTAAGACTTAATTCATCAGCCTTCCTACCCTCAAACCAAACCTGCCAATGAACATCCCCCTCAATTTCATCTTCAACTCAACTCTTGCTGTTGCTTCTTACAATTAAATCAAATGCAATCTCTCCAATAAATCCACTCAAGCCCAAACTCCTCAGTGAGAAGCCATCCCTAATTAACCCAACCATGGAGATCAGAAGCCTTCCGTGATATTGTGATACTATAATATATGTATGGTCTTCACCCATGATAGAGTTCCTAAAACTCATAATTTCCTGAGTGACAGGAGCAACTAGAGCATTTTTTTTGTTATTCATAATAAGCCCCTTTCTGAACTTATGCTAATTAGTTTATGCTAACTATATCTGAGCTTATGCTAATGAGGACATTCTTGAAGGATGGGTGTGGTGACCATAGGAGCCAATCATGTTTAGGAGCTTGGAACTTTCAGACACACAGACCCTGCCTCCAGAGAGGGGAGAGGGGCTGGACATTAAGCTCAATCACCAATGGGCAATGATTTAGTCAATCATGTCCATGTAATGTATCTTCCAGAAAAAAAAAACAAATAATGGGGTTTGGAGATCTTCCAAGTTGGTAAAAGCATTGGGGTGCTGGGAGGGTGGTGCACCCAGAGAGCATAGAAGCTTTGTATTCCTTTCCACACACCCTGCCCTATGCATTTCTTCATTTGGATGTTCCTGACTTGTCTCTTTTACAATAAACCAGTAATAGTAAGTAAAGGGCTTTCCTAAGTTCTCTGAGCTGTTCTAGCAAATTATCAAATCTAAGGAGGGGGTCATAGAAACCCGATTTATAATTGGTCTGTCAGAAGTATAGGTGACAATCTGGACTTGCGATTGCCCACTGAAGGTGTGGGCAGTCTTGTAAGACGGAGGCCTTAGCCTATGACATCTGCCCTAACTCTGGATAGCTAGTGTCAGAACTGCTTAATGTAGAAAATGTATACATTTGGTGTCAGAATTGTTGTGAGTATTAAAAAACATAGTTTACCTTACCTTCTATGATTTCCTATAGCAGTGGTCAGCAAACTCATTAGTCAACAGAGCCAAATATCAACAGTACAACGAGTGAAATTTCTTTTGAGAGCCAAATTTTTTAAACTTAAACTATATACGTAGGTACATTGTTATTAACTTAATTAGGGTACTCCTAAGGCTTAGGAAGAGCCACACTCAAGGGGTCCAAGAGCCGCATGTGGCTCGCGAGCCGCAGTTTGCCGACCACGGTCCTGTAGAAATTATATCTTTGCAAGCCATTCGGCAGCCTCCTGAACACAATGTTATTTACTATTCATTGTTTTTTAACAGACTATTTTCTAGAGCAGCTTTAGGTTTACAACGAAACTGAGCAGAAAATAAGAGTTCCCGCCAAAACCGGTTTGGCTCAGTGGATAGAGAGTCGGCCTGCGGACTGAAAGGTCCCAGGTTCGATTCCAGTCAAGGGCATGTACCTGGGTTGCAGGCACATCCCCAGTAGGAGATGTGCAGGAGGCAGCTGATCGATGTTTCTCTCTCATTGATGTTTCTGACTCTCTATCTCTCTCTCCCTTCCTCTCTAAAAAATCAATAAAATATATTAAAAAAAAAAAAGAGTTCCCATACACCCCTTTCCCTCCAGCACACACACACACAGCCCACCCATTATCAACATCCCCCACCAGAGTGGTATATTTGTTATAATCTGAATAAAACTGCTGTAAACATCTGTGTGCAGGTTTTTGTGTGGACATAAGTTTTTAACTTCTTTGGATAAATACCAAGGAGTATAACTGCTGGATCACATGGAAAGAGCATGTTTAGTTTTGTAAGAAACTGCCAAATGTTTTGTACTCCTAACAGCAATGAATGAGAGTCCCTGTTGCTCCACATTCTCGTCAGCATTTGGTGTTGCCAGTGTTTCAGATTTTGGCTGTTCTAATATGTGGGCAGTGGTAGCTCATTGTTGTTTCAATTTACAACTGACTAACGGCATATATTGATCATCTTTTCATATGCTTATTAACCATTTGTATATGTACTTTTGTGAAGTTTCTATTCAGGTTGTTGGCCCATTTTAAAAATCAGGTTGCTTATTTTGTTATTGAACATTAAAAGTTCTTGAATATTTTGGGTAAGAATACTTTATCAGTATGTCTTTTCCAAATATATTTCTCACCGTGTGTGGCTTGTCTTCTCATTCTCTTAACAGTGTCTTTTGCACAGCAGTTTTTAATTTTAATGAAGTCTAGCTTATCAGTTATTTCTTCATGGATCATGCCTTGAGTGTTGGATCTAAAAAGTCACTGCCTAGATTTTCTCCTGTGTTACCTTCATTACCATTAACTACTTTAACAAATTATTGAGTGGACAGTATGTGCCTGGTATTCAAACGGAGGATAAATAAGGCCATCATGCTCAGATACTCCGAAGCCCTCCTTTAACAAGCTGATCAAGCATAAAGCAGTGGCTCTCGGTTGGGAGAGAGCAGAGATGTCACAGCACCATAGAACCAGAACTGATTCAAATCCTAACTGCCACTTACCAGCCATGTGGCCTATGTCTCACATTCTTCATCTGAAAAATGAGAATGATATTTACACCCACCTCACTTCACAGGACTTTTGTGAAGATGAAATTATTTAATGCATGTGAAGTGCTTAGCACAGTGCCTATGACACTCTAAGTCAGTGTTTCTCAACCTGTGGGTCGCGACCCCTTTGGGGAATCAAACGACCCTTTCACAGGGGTCGCCTAAGACCATCGGAAAACACATAGATAATTACATATTGTTTTTGTGATTAATCACTATGCTTTAATTATGTTCAATTTGTAACAATGAAATTGGGGGTCACCACAACATGAGGAACTGTATTAAAGGTTCCCGGCATTAGGAAAGTTGAGAACCACTGCTCTAAGTGCTCAATACATGATAGTACTTCTGAATTCTCCAAGAAAGAGTTGGGATACAGTTTAAAGAAAACATTCAAGTTATCACTGCTAAAAATATGTGATCATGATATTTCATTTTATTTTGGAATTTCAAGAAAAGATTAAGTTATAGCCTCATTCTCATATTCTGTGGTTATCAATCTCTTAATAAATCAAAGATTCAAAATTAATAAGCATTATTCACAGCATGTGGAAGGTAGCAGGTAAATGCCAGCAGAAAAAATGTGGTTTTAAAAAATTTCAATTTGAGGAAAGTAATATATTTGGTTGTTTTTTTAAAGTAAATTTCTCATTACAAGAAAATACTAAAAATTTAAGTGAGACATTCAATTCATTTAACTTAATATTTCAATACTATATTACTAGTTTAATTTGTGCTAATCTAACTGAGGAGAAAGAAGCTACAAATATTTATGAATTAAACTACAGAATTAAGAATGACTTATTTCTCGCCGAAACCGGTTTGGCTCAGTGGATAGAACGTCGGCCTGCGGACTGAAAGGTCCCAGGTTCGATTCCGGTCAAGGGCATGTACCTGGGTTGCGGGCACATCCCCAGTTGGAGATGTGCAGGAGGCAGCTGATCGATGTTTCTCTCTCATCGATGTTTCTAACTCTCTCTCTCTCTCCCTTCCTCTCTGTAAAAAATCAATAAAATATATTTAAAAAAAAAAAAAAGAATGACTTATTTCTCAGTGACACACATAAAAATCTGTTTCAAAGAACATTGGCTGATGAAATAAGCAAAGAATAATTCTATTTTCTAGTGAAACTACAAAAATTATACGTTAGGAAACCAAAACACTAATTTCGAGGAATATATACTCCCCTATGTTGTAGCATTATTTACAATGGCCAAGATTTGGAAGTAGCCCAAGTGCCCATAAGTAGATGACTGAATAAAAGAGCTGTTGCACATAGAATACTACTCTGCCATAAAAAAGAAGAAAATCTTACCCTTTGCAAAAGAATGGATGGACCTGGAGATTATTATACTAAGTGAAATAATCCAGCCAGAGAAAAGGCAAATATACATGATTTCACTTAAAAAGTAACAAACAAAAGAGAAACAGACCCATAGGCAGAGAATAGGCTGACAGCTACCAGAGAGGAGTGGGGAGGGGTGCTGGGTGAAAGGGGTGAAGGGATTAAGCAAAAGCAAAAAAACAACAACACATAGATACAGACAACAGTATGGTGATTACCAGAGGAAAAGAGGGTGGAGGGATAGAAAAGGATAAAGGGGAGATAAACAGAGATGTAAGGAGACTTGGCGTGGGGTGGTGAACATACAATACAATATACAGATGATGTGTTACAGAATTATACACTTAAAACCTATATAATTTTATTAACCAATGTCAACCCAATAAATTCAATTAAAAATAAAAATAAAGAAAATAAAAGAACTATGAACTAACTCCCTTATAAGCTAATCAAATATATGCCTCTTATATGGGATCAGTCAATGCATGAAGCAGTCGGGGACAAAATTTTAATCTAAAACAAAAATTTTCACAAAGATGCTCGATAAATATTAACTAAGTAGTATTTTTAAAAATATATACCTCAGATGCTTTAAAGCCTCAAAAATCATTGCAACACCTGAAATGAAGGAATAGGAGACTGCTATGGTTGATGACTCTTTTTTATAATATGTCTACGAAGAGAATAGTAAACTATAAAGAAATAGCTAAGAAGATGGAAACCATGGAAGATGGTAACTGGCCCTCCTTTTTGGAACAAGCTGAGAGGAACGGGACTCGTTGTCCGTCCACCGTCTCTGCACCCCGTCCAGGTTAACCTCCGTCAGGCAGTTTTATATACAAGATACACCTCTGCTTATCTTTCTTTCAAGAATTACCTTTAATTGTTTCCTCCACAACTTCTACTACACGATCTATCTGTTGAACCTGGAAAGAAAACAAACTGTTAGACAAGGAGCTTACCCAAAGAAGAAATATTAATTTGTTTATCCTTCCGCTTAAGTCAATGTTACGCATTTTCTAAGCTCATGAAAGCAGGTTTTCTTTAATTAATGCATTTGACAGTATTATAAAAAATATTCTATATGGAGATTCTGTTACAATAAAATATGAAATTATCACTCTCCTGTCCTCTAATGACAATTAAAGAAATCATACTACATTTAAATAAACTTCCTGGAGTTGTCAGAAGATCTTATCAACATAAACTTTAAAAGTCCTAAGATATAAACTAAAGTTTAATTACAACATGTCTCTTCACACACAGCTTCAAAAACAATGACAACCTATACAAAAGGGCATGCTGATATTAAGAGGATCGACCCCAAATTCTCTGTTTTATTAGTTTAACACTGAAACCCCTTTTAATGAATTTCTACCCTGTGCTGGGTACTGTGCTCAAGCCCATGGACTACAAAGTCAAATAATAACAGTTCCTGCCCGAGACATGAGTGACTAAGAAAGATTTCCCAGGGCATCAGGAGATCACAGAGGAAAGGTAATAAAATCTGACTGAGTGACCCAGGAATGCTTCTTGAGGATAAGCAGGATTAGATTGGAAGAGGCCCACTAGGGAAACTGAGTTAGAGTGGCTGGAGTTAGATGGAAAATGGAAAAAGCAAAGATTGTAGTCCAAGAAGCTACAGGAATAGAGAAAGTTAACTTAGATCACAAGTGATATCTAGTTAATTGTTTTATTACAAAAGAAATTTGTTCACTGAACAAATTCAAACAAAACAGAAATATAAAGCAGAAAAAAAGGTAACCCATAACATCCTCCATGCTCCATTTCCACTCCTAAGATGAATCACTCATAATTATCTGATGAGTAGATACCAAGACATTTCCAAATGCTAAACATTTATATGCAGGGCAGATAAAAGAGTTAGTTACTATATTATTATTTATTAATTACCAGAGGCCCGGTGTACAAAAATTTGTGCACTCAGGGGGGAGGGGGATCCCTCAGCCCAGCCTGTGCCCTCTTGCAGTCCGGGACACCTCAGGGGATGACCACATGCTGGCTTAGGCCCGCTCTCTGGGGGATTGGGCCTAAGATGGCAATCAGACATCCCTCTGGCAGCCCAGCAGCACTCGGGGGATGCCCACTTGCCAGGAGGGAGTAGACCTAAGCTGCAGTCAGACATCCTTAGCGCTGCTGAGGAGGGAGGAGAGGCTCCCACCACCACCGCTGTACTGGCCGCCATCAGCCTGGCTTGTGGCTGAGCAGAGCTCCTCCCATGTGAGAGCACCCTGACCACCTGAGAGCAACTCCGGCATTGAGCATCTGCCCCCTGGTGTTCAGTGTGTGTCATAGTAACCAGTCATTCCCAGTCCTTCTGCTGTTAGGGTCAGTGTGCATATTACCCTTTTACTATATAGGATAGAGGCCTGGTGCACGGGTGGGAGCCGGCTGGTTTGCCCTGAAGGGTGTCCTGGATCAAGGTTGGGTCCCGCTTGGGTGCCTGGCCAGCCTGGATGAGGGGATGATGGCTGTTTGCAGCTGGTCACACCCCCTTCAGGGTGGGGGTCCCCATAGGGGTACCCGGCCAGTCTGGGTGAGGGGCTGAGGACCTTTTTCATGCTGGCGGGCGACTGAAGCTCCAAGCCTATATTTTTTCTTTTTTTTTTATTCTGGGATTTATTTACCTTCTATGGCTGTCACCTGAGCTGAGAGCCGGCTTTAGCTCTGAGGCTCGGCTGCAGCTCTTAGACCTCTGCTGCTGAAAGCAGGTATCTGGTTTGTTTGGCTTCAATAATTGAAACACTGTTGCAACTCCAGCTCGGCCGGCTGGCTGAAAGCATGGGGTTTGTTTAGCTTCTATAATTGCAACATTGCTTCTTAGAGTGCAAGCTCAGAGCCCAGCAGCGGCAGGCGGGGAACCTTGGCTTCCTCCTTCACTGGAGCAAGCAAGCCTCCTGTTTGCTTCACCTGCCTCGCTGCCAGCCGCCATCTTGGTTGGAAGTTAATTTTCATATGGCCCTGATTAGCCAATGGGAAGCATGTCGGAGGTACGGTTAATTACCATGTTTGTCTATTATTAGATAGGATTGTATTACTTTCCATATGAATAGACCTGTCCTTGATTTGTCTTACATTTGCCTTACCCTTTATACAGTAGCCCCCCTTTATCCATGAGATATATGTTCCAAGACCACCCCCAGTGGGTACCTGAAATCAAAGATAGTAATAAATTCCATATATATTATCTTTTCCTATACACATATACCTATAATAAAGTTTAAATTATAAATTAGGGACAGTAAGAGATTAACAACAATAACCAATAATAAGTGGCTAGAGGGTGGGTGGCAGCATGAATACTATAGACAAAGGGATGATTCACATCCTAGAGGGCACAGAGTAGAACAGCGCATGACAGCATGAGATTTATTCAAGCACCACACAATTTACAACTTAAGAGTTGTTTATTTCTGGAAATTTCTATTTAATATTAAGTGTTTAACCATAGGTAACTGAAACTGCAGAAAGCAAAACCATACATAAAGGGGTCTAATCCATAATGATAAAAGCATAATATGCTAATTAGACCAGACATCCTTCTGGACACCTTCCGGATGAAGCCATAGCTGCAAGGGAATCCGGGGTACCAGGTGCCTGCTGGTGGCCAAAGGGAAGCCTGGGTCCTGGTTGCTGGAGGGAAGATGGTGCCGGCAGCCGGGGGAAGGAAAGCCTACTCTTGCAAGAATTTCAAGAGGTCTCTAGTATAATTATCTTATATAATAAAAGCCTAATATGCTTAGTGTCTGACTGTTCGCTATGACGCACACTGACCACCAAGGGGCGGACGCTCAACACAGGAGCTGCCCCCTGGTGGTCAGTGCGCTCCCACAGGGGGAGCGCAGCTCAGCCAGATGCCAGGGTTCATGGCTGGTGAGCGCAGCAGCGGTGGTGGGAGCCTCTCCCACCTCCACGGCAGCCCTAAGGATGTCCAACTGATGGCTTAGGCCCGCTCCCCATGAGCCTAAGCCGTCAGACGGACATTCCCCAAGTTCTCCCGGACTGCAATAGGGTGCAGGCCAGGTTTAGTGACACCCCACATCCCGTTCCCCCTGAGTGCATGAATTTTGTGAACCGGGCCTCTAGTATTCTATAGTTTTTTCTTCTTTCCTTTTAGTTATGAGACATAGATAGATGACATGTAAAGTAGACCTGTCCTTGATTTGTTTTCTATACATCATCAGTATATAGGCCTACTTCATTCATTTTACTAGCTCCCAGAGTCTCCTGTATAGATATACCATAACAAACATTAATATCATCGCATTAATGAGCCTTTATGTTATTTCTAATCTTCACTATACAACAATGCTGCAATGACCTCAACTGAGACCCAAAAAATAACCTTAAAAAAAAAAAAACTTGGAGGACCTCTGGCTCCCTCGGGGAAAACTGGTGGCATGAAGGACTCAGTTCTGCCGGAGTAGGGTTTCTGTTCTTTGCAGAGGTTGCCTTGAGCACTGGCCAGGCAGCCTAGGAAGAGAGGCTGGACTTTACCCATCACCCCGTCTAACAGGGAATGAACAGGTAGAGACGCTCCCCTCTAACAATTTCTAAAGAAATCTCCAGTTGTGGAGAAGGGAAGATGGCGGCAATGTAGGCAGACGTGTCCCAGGTCGTGTCCCGGAGCAAATGGAGTGAGCAGCTGAAACTAATAGCATCCAGCCGAATTGGCGAAATTGCTCAGCTGGTGAGACGGTTTGCAGCCGGGAAGAGCAGAACTCCCCTGGAAAGGTAAAAAAAACCAGGGTTTTGGGCAGGAAAGTTTGCCAGACCTCTGAGTCCAGAGAGTCGGAGGGAGACCGCGTGGCAGAGAGCCGTGTCCCTTGGGACAGGCACAGCCCCTGACGGGGGAAAGGAGAACCGCGGGATTCCTGGCGCCGCCGGGGGGAATTGAGAGCTGGGTTCTGTGATCACGGAGGACTGAGCCTAAAGGGGGCAGACTGAAGAGCTGACCAGACCATGCAGTCCCGGTAAGAGAAGAAGCTTACAGAAACCAAGCCTTCCCCGTTTCCGCGGCCGGCGTTTGTTTGTTTGTTTTCACTGAATCCTGTTCATAGGACATTTCGGATACAGACACTCACCTGTGCAGAAGTGAGGGAGAGTGTGCGGAGGAGTGGAATCTGGGGAGAGACTGAAGAGAGAAGGGGGGCTGGGAGAGGTGGCAGCGAATTGAGTGCTGAGACACCCCTGGGTGTCTGGGGCAGCCATTCTCTCCAGAGAGTGAGACTCCTCCCCCCAGCCCCCAGGCAAGGAGCACAGCCACACCCAGATTCCACCCTGTAGGAGATCAAGGATTAAAATAACCCGATCAGTCCCTGGGAGTTAACAGGGTCTGGCCTATAGAGGGATTTTCAATCCCAGCAACAACACAGCGGCCGGTAACTAACTATTACACAGCCAGCTCTGGGCAGTGAACTTCCACTGGACAGAGAGGCCCTATAGCCTCAGAGGCCAACCCCAGAACACTGCCATCCAGAGGCTGACCCACAAACTGACTCTTTCCTAAACACAAAATAAGGCAGTCTGGGAAACAAATGCGGCCTGCTTTAAAATAAGGACTGTGGTTTACAACACAGAGGAACAGTGTATCGCAGGGAAAACCAACACTCTCCTGAATACCTGGCGGGTCTAAGGCGAGCCACACTGAAGAATAGAAGAACCGAAGGACCTTCACTACTGCAATTTTTTTTTTCTTTTTTCACCTTTTAACTAAGAAACCAATTTTTTTTCTCTTCTTCTTTTTTTTCTTTTCTTTTTTTTTCTTCTTTTTCCATCACGTGATTTTACCCTTTTAATTACTACCTTCTTATTTTTAACCAGTATTATTACTGCTACCATTTTACCATTTTTTAAAGTGCCATTTTATTTTCTCTTTATTTTATTTTGGGATTAGTGTTCTCCA